TTGGAGCACATTGCTTCACTTTTTACTGCCCACAAGCAATATGGGTAATCCAAATACAAAACTAAATTTTCCACCTGTGATGTCAGTGTTGATACAGCAGACATTCCCTTTTCAGTGAGGTGCAGACCTTAACCTGATCTTCCATTATAGATGTGAGAGGATATACAGCTAATAAAATGAGATCACCTGGTAATCATACAATCCGTTTCTAGAGAATAAACTGTGTGTGTGTGTGTGTGTGTATATATATATATATATATATATATATTTGGACCTCACTGACTGTTATTGTATGGACAAAAACAACTGAAAGATTCTTAAAATATATTCCATCTTTCCGCAGAAGAAGAAAATCATACGAGATTGAAATAACATTAGGTTGATCTTGAGTAAATGATAAATTTTTATTTTTGGGTGCACTACTTCTTGAAATACATATTTGACCACATTAGTAGTAAGATGTGATATTGATCAGACACCACTGGTTTTGATTGCACAAGTTTACATACTACATTCAAAATATTGTACATGCAAAGATGCATTTTATCAGAGTTGCATTATTTTAATTTGAACTTTTCACAAATAACCAGTCCATGCCAAGATGCTACAGGGTCCTGTTAGTTCATCAATGTTCTTGTACTACATCTGTCACCTTGTTTGCTTTTTGTAAGGTGAAATCATCAGCGTGCAGCTTCAGGGTTTGTGTGATGCCCCAGAGAAATGCAAATCTACTGGAAACACCAGCAGGTTAATCAGATCACATTAGAGCAGAAGCGATCATAAATTGTCAAATCCTGAGTATGTCCTGATCCACAGATAATGATGAAAGTTTACAAAAGACCAAATCTCCAACTCCCACACAACACTTCTAAGAGCTTAGATTGAAGCGCTAATACAGTAGGTAGTCAACCAGAATGTCTATTATACCGGTGTTGTGACGAATTCTGACCCCCCCGCTAGATTATTATCCCCCTAGTATTGGTAGGTTTAGGAGTAGGGGTGGGGGAGGGGTTAGGGTTAGGCAATCAGGTAGCGACATCAATGAGGGGGTAATAATTTGGCAGTGGGTCAAAATTCGCCACAACACCTGTTGTCTAATCAGCCCTGCTCATGAAATGACGAAACATATAATGTCTATGAAACAAAGAAATTGTGGATCACTTTTTATTAAATCATTACTTTTTTAGTTAAAACGTGAAAGCACAGTATTTATTTGTTCCCACTATTTAAATAAATAAAAAAAACATGAAGAAAAAAACGAGAACAACATTAAACCAAGGGAATGAACTTAAACCAAGGGAACGAAGTAGAACAGTCATATTTAAACTAAAACGATGATTAATAAAACTACATATATATATATATATATATATATATATATGTGTGTGTGTGTGTGTGTGTGTGTGTTACTTATGACAAAGTCTAAAAAGATGGCTTCTTATAAAAAAAAGTGTTCCCGTGGCTCAATTTGCCCCAGGTTAGGGGTAAGTTGACCTGAGTCAACAATATGTTGAACACCAAAGTTGTAACCGTCCAAAAAAATAGACTAACAGACTAGTTTGCTGTATAAAATTAAATAAAAACTGAATTAGAATGAAGGAATAAATGTCACTGAAACTGATAAACATTTTAGTCAAACTATTATTGGCATGGTAGCTTTTCTACAATGTTGATCAGGCCATTAGGGACTACAGGTGGAAAATATATATGATTATTATAATGTAATGAAAAGCATTTTCTGGTTC